TACGCACTTGCTAAAAAGTTACGAAGAACAAAAAAAAAGGGGAAAAAAACGCTCGAAAATTGAGTTGACTTACTCACTGTACACTCGCTTTAAGTCTTTCTGTCTACGTACGTCCTCGGCAGTACCTGGCTTTGTTGTTTTTAGGCTTTTTTTCGTGCCCTTCCGGTGACCCTACTGGGTTTCGCCAAAAGTGTCGTCCACTGGCGCCGTCGGGGAGACTTGTTCGAGCGTCCGCTTTTTTAACTGGACCGACTTGTCCACTTGATCTGTGTCCTCGTTGCTTTCCTGGAGTGGGTGGTGTACGAATTCGTCGTCGGTAGCCTTCGCCACTTCCTCCACCCGCTGTGGTCGATTTGTGAGGGGCGGGGGCGATGTTTCATCCGCCTCCCTTACCACATTCGTGAATTTCTTGGCACTTTGGGGCGAAGTCGCTGACTCGTCGCTTGGACGGGTGGTGGTCGGCTTCCCAGATTCATCTCCGGGCTGCCCCTCTGGCAGGTCGCTCGCAGGTGTATCTTCAGTCTCCACCTCATCCACGTCTTCGTTTTTGCGTTCTCACGGGATGAAGGCGTACGTCTTTACGCAGCTTTCGCTGTCGTGTCGGTAGCGATGACACTCGTTGCAACGCGGAAACCGACAGCTACGGCGGATATGTCCAGTAAGGCGGCACCGCAGGCACAAAGGAAACCTTCCAGAAGCAATGACAAGTACCTTTCTTCCTTCTATGCGTAACTCGTGCAGAACGTCGTCCAGACTCGTGCCTTCTTTTAGCTTCATTTAGACGAGTCGCGTATTACACTCGACGTTCTGAAATCTCTTCTCACAGAAATGGTCACGACTAATGTCCGTTACCTTGCCGAAGCGTTCGAGTTCTCGACGTACCTGGCAGTTTGGCACGTCATAAAGAACCCAATGCAGCTTGACAATCACCACCGTGTTGGCGGGATCAAAGACGAGGCAACGACCCCCTTTGATCCGAAGCTCTTTGGCATCTACCAACCGTTGCTTTTCAGAGAGCCAGTGCAGCCGAAGCATGCATACGTGATTCATTTGGTGGGCTCCCGGTCACGCCAATTCTTGCAGGATGTTCAGTCTTTCCAATTCTTCCTTGAAATCTTGAATCCGATAACGCCAGTAGCGCATATCACGGTTCAGAAAAACTGCGTTCTTTGCCAGATAACCGGTGGGCAGGGGTGGCAGAATGTTCTCGTAGTCCTCAGCAGTTTCAGAAACACGAGAACCGCGGCCGAGCCTGGTCGTTGCTGCCGCTCCTTGGGAGCCCGACATCCAACGTCCGTACTCGGCGGAGCATTCGGCCACGCGCTCGCTCCGCAACGCGCGTGGCAATACCACTGGTTCATGTTACAAAACATTTTTGGGACAGGCATAAAGAGGTCGCTTTAGCTCTTTTGACATCGCTGAATATCACTTGCTGGGGGCACCTTACACGCATCGTTTCAAGGGTCCATGAAACGAGTTTTGCCTGGGATAAATCAATTTAGGTTGAGATTTTACTAATAGCACATCGTTCAGTGGGCCAAAAGAAGAGGAAGTACAAAGTCTAGAGCCTGACTTTCGCTACAAAAATTTTAAAACACAACGGACTATTTCGTACCTCCGTCCCTTTGTAAGCTCTCTGCCTTTTCACTGTCATACATCCGTGGTCCCCAAAGCGCGTCTCCGGGTCCAAACGCACGTCACACGACCACCCGGACCTCACTTATTTTCTTCTCCCCTAAAGTGACATTGCGGTGGAAGCTACGTACTTGCCGGAAGAATCAGCCGCCTCTCTTTCATCACGTGACTTCATTCTCTGCACGTGGGTATGCGCAAGAGAGCATAGTCACGTGGCAAAAGTGTGGCTGGCCGAACGAGCACGTAGCTTCTACAGCACTGTTAGCTTCGGGGTGAACAGGGTGGGGAAAGCCACTTTTGTCTGAATTTTGAGCGACGGGCTAATCTTCAAGGTTGAGGATGGTTGTGTCCCGGTACACAAAGAAGAGTCCGAGCAAGAGGGGACTCCCCCCTTTCCGTCTCCTTGAACTGTTTGGTAGAATGCGCGATTTATGAGTTGAGGAAGAAAGCTAAACAGGAAAAAGTTGGAAAATTGTTTCATGACTCGTTTAACTACAAACCATATTCCCCATTTGAGGAGTTCACTATAAACAAATTTGCAATACGAATAGGAGTGGATGGATGACAAAGAAAACCCACATAATAGACACAGAAGTGGTCGCACCTTCTTCAAGTAGGTTGTGATCAGAAAGGCACTCGACGTTGGGGAACGCTTTGTTAAGATTTTGAGAGATCATACAGCTTTTAGTTTGTTTCCTGTCCTGTTCTCTGCGTATCAATGTTCGCTTACAGACAGCGTTCGTGAGAGCAATTAGAGACGGACTCACAACAGAGTAAAAATAAACAAAAGAAAACCTCGACTTTTTGCCGTAGCGGGGTTAAATATACAAAAAGCTAAACAAATGTTGTTTTCTTTGTGTTCACTTCTCATCTCCTTTTATTTGTTATGTTTTTTTAGATTGAAGTCTGCATTTTTGTCGTAGGTCGTTTTTCGGTCTGCGTTTCGCCTCGGTGTGGCAATCTTTACTTCTGTAAAACCACCCCTTCTGTTTCAGGAATTTTCGGAGGAAACATTAGGAAGCAAAAGGCGCCTTTGGGAAGGCTAGAAGAAAACCTTTATTGTACAGACTTTGGGCTGAAATATGAGCCACAATCGGCAAAAAAGCGATGATTTTTCACGACCTTAATCAAAGTCATCGTGGCTAATCGGTGCTAGCAGCAGGAAACTTTTGCTCGAAAGAATGTTCACGGTTGCTCGTTCTACACCCACCCACTTAATAATAATAGCTTTATTTCCAACAATGAGGTACAGTGTTGGTGGGGACTTGGGAAAAAAGCTGCTGAAGCAGCTTGACTGGTCCCGAGCCCACAGAAATCAGCAGCGGAAGAAAGAAAAAAAGAAGTTAACAGCAAAATCACATCATACATCAACAAGATGTTCAAAACAGAAAAGTCACAATAGCAGTACTACATATATAACGAAAATTGAACATATAAACATGCCACTCACAACTGATCAGTTTGGCTAAGAATTATTATGTTCCTAAGGTTATCTGCAGATATATTTACAAGCTCGATATGTTGCGCACAAAAATAGTTGAGGGTGGTTGGAAGAGTAAACGCCGCGGTTTGAAGGCCGCAATTAGTTCTAAAAAATGGGACTACCCAAGGTTCTGTGATTCTTGTTGGATATGCATACACTTTTTCTTTTAAGTCAGCTAAGTTCACAAGATGCCGTACATTCATACTCATATCAGCTTTATATTTAGCACATAGGCGACATCGATACAAGTTAAAAATTCTAACTACATCTAGCTGGCTAAATAATTTTTCCGTTGGAAATTCCGGTGAAACATTGCAAATGCTTCGTAGTATCTTTTTTTGTAATAAAAATAGCTTTTGTAGATTTTTATGATTGGTTGTTCCCCAAATTAAATGGCCGTAATTAATTTGTGAGTAAAATAGCGAGTTATATATTAGCAACTTTATTTTAAGAGGCAAAATATCTTTGTGACGATACGCCAGTCCAACAATGCTAGACAGTTTTGATGTAACATAATTTACATGAGCATCCCATGACATGTTCTCTGAAAAAAAGACACCTAAAGTTTTAAATGCTGGTACCACTTCTATTTTAGAAGAATTAAACATTATATCCTCGTCTATGGTAAAAATTTTACCCTTCGGACGAAACAAAACAGCCTTCACATTTATTTTTAACCCATTATACCTACTCCATGTATTTAACTTTTCTAGCGTGACGTTTGCGTTCTCAACAAGCTCTGCGGGGCTATCTCCATTAAACAGTATGCTCGTGTCGTCTGCGTAGATAATAAATTTTGTTGAATTGCTTATATTTACGATATCATTCATATAAAGATTAAATAAAAAAGGACCCAAAATGCTTCCTTGAGGAACCCCTGATTTGATTGGCTTTACATCGGAAAATTGACCAATGATGTCGACATACTGCTGACGGAAAGACAAGTATGATTGAATAAGAAGCGAAACCTGACCCCGATAGCCATATATTTCGAGTTTTTTAATTAGAAGGTTGTGATCGAGAAAATCAAAAGCCTTCGTGACGTCAATAAATAAGCCGAGAATTAGTTTTTTTTATTTTCAAAACCTTTAAGCCTAGGAATACCGAAAACCCCGGAAAATGGCGGTATGTAAAAAAAAAAATGTATTTGAGTTAAGGAGTACAAGATACTCAGACATGTAATTAAAATAGAGTATCAAATACTCTCAATCAGAAGTATCTGCAAGATACCAAGATACTTCAGAAGTATTTGAGATATAGTATCTTGAGTAGAGTATTTGAGATAGGCACAAGTCTGCTATGCGTCTCGGTGAATGACAGAACTCACCGGTTTAAGTGCATGTATCATTTATAAACACTTACGGTCATGCAACACGTTAAAAAAAAGAAACATTTTACGTATATTTTGGCGCCGGCCTTTTATCAGCGGCGGAGCGCCACTCGCGTGTCCGATTACGACATAGTGAAAAACAGCGCCAAAAAGACGGGACACAAAGTGGAAGACGGACGCAGGACATCCGCTGTGTCTTGTGGAGCCGAGTACGATTAGCTGTAGCAGTTTACTCATCGCCGACTCCGCGTGGAAATCACGAGAGACAATTTAACATGCAGGGAACCTGGTCCAACGCTTTAAATCACCATGCTACCCAAAAACCGTGTCCGACTATTCCGTCAATCATTCATTTCATTTGGTTCTCCTCTTACGCAGTTTAAAAACGTGCGCAACAGATAGCTTTTTTGTGGAAGTGCATGCATATTCTTTCTGATCATGGGTGGTGACATCGTCGCCCCCCCCCCCCCCCCCTTTCTTGTGCTTTGAATATCATACTAACGTATAATATTACTGAGAGCTGGCAACCTGATCCTTCCGATCCACACGCAGATCGACTATGTGATTTGGACGGGCGACGTTGTGGCCCACGACATATGGAACACCTCTCGCGAGAAAACCCTGGCCATGATCGACTACACCAGCATGTCTCTGGCCGAATACATGGGCCCCAGCGTGCCTGTCTACCCAGCCGTTGGAAACCACGAGGGAGAGCCTGTGAACAGGTGGGACGACCCCTAGACCGATGCTTCTTGTTTCCAGTTTAAGAGCCTTAAAGGAAAGCTCGGGTTCTTTTTTGAGCGAATCAAATTGTAAAAATTTTTGAAACACCCATGCCATACTATTTATTCTATCTAGGTTCAAAATAGCTATTAAAAACAGTTAACGTGGTCACCAAGTTCACATTCAAATGTTTTTGCACTCAAAAAGAAACTACAGTGTTCTAACCGCGTAGCTACTCCTCAGTGCTTCGTAACAATTAGTTAAAGAACTATTTGGTGATTAAACCTACCGGTCCTGAAGTCACCCTCCATCGAGTTAAACGTTTCCATGGCCACGGGGGAGGGGTCGAATCGCATTCCGATCACCAAATGGCGACTGTCATTTGTTCGACTCTTTAATCGAAGGCATTCCAAGGATCCATCTGCGTTGCTGGACAACGTATACACAAACGAGGACGAATTTTTGACGCCCGAGTATGATTTTTATCTCGGCTCCCTGTTTCATGAACAGCGTTTTCTTAATACTGACACCCAAAGAGGAAAAACAAACGGCGGCGAACGCTCCAACCCTCACTTGTGAAATATGAGGCCAAACAAGCGATGCCGTGAGGTGAAATCAGCATTTCGAAGATCAGTGCGATGATACTGGTAGATTCCAGGGAATCTAATCTAATTTTCATTTTTAAGCAAGTGAACAAAACGAAACTGATACAATACAATACGAAGGCCATCTTTATTCACTTTCTTTGGAAATCCTACAATATAAAGACCGCATAAGCCAATAATGGCTTCTTCGTGGGACTTGACAGGAGTCTGCTTTTTATAGCACAGGTAACTAAAAAACAGCAAAGCATACTTATATAAGCATATATTACTACACTTTCACTGCCTTTTACGGCTTATGTAATACCTTTCATTTTATGAGTACATATGTAAAACCCGTCCAATCATATTGTATTAGATATCGTGATGAAAGATAGAATTTGTGACTTACAAGATAATTCTATAATAGAAAAAAATAGAATATTTTATATTATGCGTTTTCGGGGATACTTCATATTTATTCCTATTACATTTTGTTTTGTTTTTTCTGTTTAATTATCCATCTTTTAGCTAGTTTTTTTATCATAGGGGATTTCATTTGTAGTGGCTCATCCGGTAATGCATTATAAAACTTAGGTATGTAATATTTCCTTGTGGTATCTCCATATCGTTTCCTTATAAATCGTTATACAATTTTCCTATTTCGCCTTAATGTCCTTTCTTTTGCATTTTTCCGCCTATGTTTGTAGTTGAAAATTGTTTTCTAATAATATCATACTTCATTTGATCTCTGAAACGTAACATTTCTAGTTCTTTATGTATATAATGCGTGATATCACTTTCTTCGCTTTTGTAACCAATATTCGTAACTTTCCTCTTTAGAGCGCAGCTCTTAGGCGCTCGTTTCCTGCTTGAGCGGCGTCGCCGTCGCCGTTGGCGTAACCGTGAGGTCAGGTGACCCGGTTGATGTCACGTGACTCCCGTGAGGCCACGTGACACCGGTGACGTCTCGTGACCCTGTGAGGCCCCGAGGGTCACGCGACGTCACGTGGGTCACGTGACCTCACGGTTACACCGAAGGCGACGCCGCTCGGAGGGAGGAGTAGCAGGCAGGATGGGGAGGTGAGGAGGAGGGAGGAGGGGTTAATGCTCTCCTCTCAGTAACCTTCCTTCCTCCTTTTGAAGAGCTGCGCTCTAATTCGGCGTTAAAGGGAGTTGTGAAAGACTTTAATTTCTAGTCGTTTGTAAATATAATGCGAGTGATCTCTTTCTTTGCCTCGGTAACCAAAATTCCTAACCACCCTTTTTTTAATCAATTCTATCTTTAGTTGTAAATACTTGGCACAGTGCCTGTATACTGTTATTCTATATTGAAGTACGGATTCGCCCAGTGCATTGTATATCGTTTTAAGTATGAATCGCGGTACTACTTCTTGGATGTGGTACATATGTGCCATTAATACCCTTAATTTCTTACAAACCTGGCCTATGGGAATTTTACATTTAAAATGTTTGCCTATGTGCATACCCAGTTATTTGACATTATTAGCATATTCTACCGGGATGCACAGGCAGTTGTTCGAGTCAAGCATTGTTATTGAAAATTCCTTTACAATTTTTTTTCTTCGACATCTAAAGTATATTTTTTGCGTTCAGGAACGGTTACTCTTATTTTTTCTTGACGGTACCATTGAATGATGTTATGTATATAATCTTGTACCGTCATTGCCGCTACTTTGTAATTGCTATGGGCGTATACAATTACCGTTCCTTCTGCATATTGAAAGAGATTACTTTTTCACCTAACTTGTGCTACCTCTTTAGAATATATATTAAAAAGAAGGGGACCGAGGATTGTAGCTTATGGTTTCCTTTTTGTTTGACGTTAATTTTCTTGCTAAATTTTGGTCCAAAGCGTACTACCTGAAACCGACCTGTAAGAAAATGTGGAATAAATCATGTTTTCCCTTAAATCCCAATGTTATATAGTTTAGCCATTAATATATCATAAAGTATTGCTACAAAAGTTTGGTAAAATCTATGAATGAAGCTAGAACATAATTATTGGTGTCCATGTTTTAATTTACATAGTCAAAGAAGTCTTCTAGAAGGTCAAAATCAAATTTGGGGGTTTTACGTGCCAAACCAACGACGGGCAACTGGTTCTCCTTCTAGACTCTAGAAGGTCACTGGTTCCTATATGTTTCCTAAATCCACATTGAGTGTTACTTAAAAGGCTATATTTTGCAATATAATACCTAAGTACTTTATTATATTTTCCATTATATAATTTACCGCAAAAAGGATGCATACTGATCTATAATTTAGTATTTTTTTCTCGCCAAATTAAACCAACTAAGGCTTATATAACTCCTTTAGTCAACAGAACCCGGCTTCGTAATTCATATGAAGTAAACTACACGCTCAGCTTAACATATGTTAGCACAAAATATTGGCGGCCTATTTTTTGTTGAAGTGCGCATCTTTGCTGAGTATTGCTGTCACCTCCTTTAAGACCCCGTTCTTCCTCTCCGGCAACCAGAATCGCCAGGGGAGTGTATACCAACATCGAGAGTGCCGAAATAATCTACCCTTAAGGTCAGCAACGATGCATTCATTACGTCTGTTCGTCGGATGGGTACCGTCCCCTAAAGTAACCATAACTTCATTTTCACCAAGGCTCTACTCGGTATAGTTCTTCACAAGGTAGAAACATCTATAATAATACAGAAGCAATGCCATTCATTTTGGCATTTTGGGCACGCTATGTCTAATTGCCGCAATTATCTCTTCGTCTTCACGTTGCGCCGATCCTCACCAGCGAAATGTAAATTGCTGTAAATAGCGAACGAGAACACGATGCGACATTACATAATTACGCCCTAAACGAAACAAAACGAAAAACCCACAACAGACAGTGACCCGCATATAAATACACGATGACATGAACGTTTACAAAAAAAAAAAAGAGTCAATGCTTGAAAACAACCTTATCCTTCGCAGCAAGCCACATCTGGCATTTTCTAATACATTATGATTATCGCACATGGTTAAAATTGCGCACAAATAGAAAGGTACAGAGAAGAGGGAAGAGAGAAGAGACAAGCGCCTCATTCCCTCTTCTCTGTACAGTTCTATTTGTGCGCAATTTTAACCATGTTCAATCATTACCAACTCGCCCAGCTAACCACTTTACTACAATGATTATCGCAAAGAGACGCATACAAGGATTTCTTAAACAGTGCAACATATCCGGCAGCCCACCTTCATCTTAAAAGCACTTGACCTTTCTTCCCGTTTTATTGAACTTAATAAGCTAGAATATGAAATTATCAACACCAACACCGCGTGAAGGTGTGCAATGTGCATTGCAGTCATTGAACAACTAGCGACTGATTTATCACAGTATCGAGGGAATGCAAGAAGTCTGCCGTCTCAAATGTCCGATTTCTGGCAATTCAGATATCAGCGTCACTTCTCCGTTACTGTTATATGTTATACAAACATCTTGCAAATTGTAGGTTTTCAAGATAAAATAAATTTCATATCTGCGATTGAATGAACCGAGTTGGGTTCTATTCGTAGGGACTAACTCATGCTAACAATGAATACGTATTTCCCACAGTAAAACAAGGCAGTTGCTTTTTTTCAGTTACAGCGGCGTGCATATCACATTGTGCAAAATTTGAAGGCGTACCACGTGCCTGTACAATATCTAACAACTGAACTTTACATTACATCATTTCAGGAGATTTAAACGCAGACCATCTGATCTGGAGAGGCGCTCATATAAACAATCGAGGAACCGATATTTTCTTCTATTTGGACCTGCACAACAAAAACATCGTGAACGAGAGTAGATCCGCATTATATGCGGCACAACGTGCGGTAGACGCCTCGACTTGAAAATCGTCCCGCCGCAACTGGCGTCTTATAGGTTCTGGTTGGATGAAATTGAAACTAGTGGCAGTGACCATATATTCTGATTTACGCCATCCTTAAGGAGTTTTTATGCTGGAAGATTCGCCTTCTATTTGGCGCACAAAATGAGAGTTTGACAATTGACTTGAAGGATAGCGGCATGCTCCTGTGCTCCTGTTGTTGCTGGTACAACATGTAGTCTTCGTGCAATCATAACAACAATCGACTGAAAATTTGAACATTTGCATTGGTACAAAAACGGTCTGGAAGGACCAAGGATATTAAGGGTCTACGTGAATTTCGCCGCACACAGAACAAGTGAGTTTATATTTAGAGGCGTTAAGAAGAGTTAATGGGGTGTCGAATTGCTCCGAACCTTATCTAAGGAAACCTCTCACGAACGCCTGTTACATGGCGCGTAGACAATGAACACCTCATCAGCAAAGACACCCGTTTCGTGCATAATCTTTACGGACGTTTAAAGATATATATATGGATGTTGCGAAGGACTTATGCTGGCGCCGCACCCAACAGCAGGC